GTTTTCAGCCGGTATACTGCAAGCTCGTCCGAAGGGGACTCGCGCCATACGCTGTTGCCACCAGGACCCGACGGAACATCTTTTCAATGTCCCCAGTTACCGTCACTCTATAACGTCGAAATCGCAAGAGTACGTTGATGAGCGGATCATGAAGCGTTGGGCCCACTAGCTGAATGTCATTGAGGGACACTCCCGTAGTAGTCGGCGCCGAAGCGTTAAACACCACTCGGAATTTCACAGAAACCGCATGATGTGGGATAGTAGTAATACAGTAGCATCCGCTGTGATTGTGTGCCGTCTCCACTGGCTCCATATGACCAATTTCCGCATATTCCCACATAAAGTTCACGTATTTCTCCCTTAGAGTAGGATCAGCGATCATACGACGCTCGAGCCCGTAGAAATGTCGCGCTGCATATGCATAGGAGTCACCAAGCTCTGGGGCGTCGCGCCGCAAAGGAAGTTGCACCATATAACGGCCATCGGGGGTACGACAATGCGTAGTCTGAAATATCTGACCGCAATCGTCATCATGCAACTCTCCAATAGCCGGAGCTTCCTCCATCTTACAAAAGTTCCGGACCAGATCTTGCAGACGAACCTCTTCCTCACCGAGCGACGCGCTGAGTGTGAGCGACGACAAGTTCGATGTGGACGCCGATGCCACCGGGCCGAATACTACCCAACCAAGACGGGTACGCTGGGCGAAAGGTTCGTCTGGTCTTCCACCGATGACTTCGCCCTCTACAACTCTTCCCCATACGTTCGCGCCGATTAGAACGTCAACACTTCCAGGTGTACCAAACTCACTATCTGCAACGTAGTCCTTTCAAGTGTAGCCACTGGGTGACGTCAACATTCACTGCAGGAGTCCGCGAAGTGATAGACGGCAAAACCAGTGCTTCAATTTGTCTCAAACATAACACAATCCTATGACAACATGACCGTGCCTTCCTCTGCGCCGGCACCACCAGCACCGAAAGAGGAAACAGGTCAAATATGGAGGAATTCAGGGTCATGACTAGCGGCACTGCGAGAGCCTGCGTTGCCCAATTCCCAGCTGTC